GTCACTCTCGCTCTTTCTGGAATACCCCGCCCGGCCTTGCACTTTGCGCCTCGCGTGTGCGAGACTGTATGCCCAGCCCATTGAGGCCTGTCCGAAGGGAGCTGATGTGTTGACAGCCGACAATGATGGTCCTCACTATGGAGAGTCGTGATGCTAGTGAGAAGGTTATTGGGCGTTGCGGAGGGTAATGGGGCCTCCGAACTTCCGACTGAGAGTCATAGCATCCTGAGGCGAATACCCTGGCCGCATGAAAAATAACTACCAACAGTATCCGTGGGTTTCTCAAATCCTCTCTTCTCAAGTCCACGCAGTGCAGTTGTAGATTTAAAAATACAATTCGATCGACCTTTCTTGCCAAACCAGAGGTTGTGACAATGATGTGTGCGCAGTGCGAGTCTGGCCGGCGGTCTGCGAGGCCCACGCCACTCCGCCCTTTGTAGCCGCAGGTTCACCCGCCCCGCCCCGCCGCCCCAGGAGCTCAATGGGCAGCGCTATCTGGTGTCAGCCCCCGCACCATCCATATCCCTCAGCTGGTCTGGCCCACTGACTTTGGCCCAGGTCAAGGGCGCGGCGTTTGTGTGCGCATGCGCCTATGGGCCTGAAAGCGGCGAGTAATTTATAACGTTGGCTTCGCATGGGTGTGTTGAAACTCACTGTTTAAAAGATACACAGAAATGTCCCGAGAAAGAACCAATATGCCTACATACCATCAATCGGGGCAGATTGGACGTTAAACCACTACAAGTCAAACCATCCGAAAAGTATTTATTCATTGTAATTCTAGTTGTTCGCGTTGATCGTTGAAGCACGCCAGACCGGGAATACCTCCGTGCTGATACTCATATACCCCATTGGCCCTGACCATCCCGGCCACTTTCGAAAGCACACATTGTGTCTCCGGCCAAAGGTCATTTATTAGGACGCGGCTCGATCCGAGACGGGCGACGTGAAATGCAAATGACATGAAGCAAGGGGAGGAGCGAGAGGGAAGGAGGCAAGAGGGAGTGGAGTGGGGGGAGGGGGGGGGTACAAAGTCTCTCGCAAAACCAAAAGATAACTTGTAAATAATTTGATGTTGGTCACAAGAGCTTTCCAAGATTTCTCGTTGCGCCGCCCTCACAGGTCGTTAGTGAGGCCGGGCCGTGGGGGCCGGCGCTTGCCTCGCTAATCATCTGATCGGATTGGATACGGCTTACTCTGTGGTCTTACTGTCACCGTGACATTGTTTTTGATTTGCGGTGGTCCACTTTTGCTTGATCTGCCGCCGAGCGCCAAGCAGCGCCGCGTGCGTGCGGAGCGGTGCGGAGGTCGCCGGCGGGTCGTGGCCGTGGCGTGACTGCTCGGCTCAGCCCGGTCCGTCTCTGTCGCAGCCGGAGCGACCTGCCCGGCCCGGCCCAGACCTGGACGACCTACGGGTGGCGCCGCTGCTGGCCGGCCCGACCCCGGCCAGAGCCCAGCCAGCACGCTCTTATCTAACGCCACCTCGATTCGCCTCATTGAACGACTTATCTACCGGTGGGAGCAACAGCTCGCTCCTTCCTCTCCGGCACCCGCGACCTGCCGCGCCCCGAATCTGTCCGTCAAAGTTGAGTCAAAGTACTACTGATCGATTTAAAAAAGTAATTTCTATTTAAGCGGACATTCATTCGCAGCTAATATAACAATTTGATACTATTGACGTTAACGTGACATTATTCGGTGGAAGTATCAATCTCGGTATCAATTTTCGCTCTTTTCGTCGGGTTCACTTAGCGTTCCTCTGGACTTTGGTTTGTTCACCAGTCGGCCTTTGCGCCTAATTTCGGTCCCCGGCTGACGGCGTTCATGTCCGGCTCGCCAACGCTGCGCCAAACTGGACGGCGGCACCCGACCGCAGGGGTCAAATGGAGTGAACATTAAAAGTGCAAACCGCGTCGTGGCTTTCACTGCGAGGCATCTGCAGTGGGCAGCTCGGGCGGAGGTGCAAACGACCTTCTTACTTTCTCAAACTCGCAGTAGCACAATCAAGGGTGTGTGGTCAAGATAACACATACTCTGCTGTGGTTCGTTGGAAACTTATCCATTGCTGTTGTGCTATTATTTGTAGGTTACCTTTTTAAAGCGTGTAAGTATTTTTCAGCTGTGGGCAACTCAGTTTGCAGGACGTTTGCAACACGATAAACACATCATATTTTTCCCCTGAAGTTTTCGCCAGAGAGCATAGCACATCTCCGGTAGTGTAAGGTGGACCCGCATCTCTAACGGGTATCGTTAATTGGAACGTCTTCAGTGGGGAGCTCGGTGCTCAACCAATGTCGTGTTCCGCTCCGGAGCATTCGCGGCCGCGGCCGAGCCATGCAGTCGGGAAGAGCAAGGGGAGCATATCACTAAAGTGAACACTAAAGGGCCGCTGAGAAATATAATTTTCCTCTCATATTAGGTGTGGTTAACAACGCTGACTGGTCAAAATCGACGCATTCGTGTCACAACGGTGAGCTATCACTATACCACAGGTAAGGAAAGGAATCATCCAGAAAACACGTCCGTCAGTCGCGGTTGAGAAACAACAG